TCTCTCTCCTCTCTCTCTCTCTCTCCTCTCTATCTCTTCTCTCTCTCTTCTCTCTCTCTCTCTCTCTCTCTTCTCTCTGTTTTTTTTTCTCTCTCTCTCTCTCTCTCTCTCTCTCTCTCTCCTCTCTCTTTTCTTTGTTTCCTCTCTCTCTCTCTCTATCCGTCTCTCTCTCTCTCTCTCTCCTCTCCTCTCTCTCTCTCTTCTCCCTCTCTCTCTCTCTCTCTATCTCTCTTTCTTTATTTGTTGTTTCTCTCTCTATATGCATAGGTGGTTGGTTCTCTCTCTCTCTCTCTCTCTCTCTCTCTCTCTCTCTCTCTATTTATATATATATATATATTATATATAAAGTTGGTTTCCTCTCTCTCTTTCTCTGTTTTGTTTCCTCTCTCTCTCTTTCTTCTTCTCTCTCTCTCACGCTCTCTCTCTCTCTCTCGCTCTCTCTCTCTCTCTCTCTCTCTCTCTCTCTCTCTCTCTCTCTGTATATATATATACATATATATATATATATATATGCATATAGGGCTCGCTGCCCCCGTTCAGAATAATTGTCTGGTCGCAGCCAGCGCCGTCGGGCATGGCGTTGAGACCCGGGCGCCGGTCGCGCCCCCGTCGTCGCCGCCATTTCGACCGGGGCCCCCGCCGCCCCGCCCCCCGCGACTCCCGATCGGGTTCCCCAGCATGAGTTGCAGCGCGGACTCGGCTGCAGCGCGATCCCGGAGATCGATCGGAGGCTGCCCCCCAGGGACGAGCTCGCTAGGGCCGAGGAGATCTCCAGGCAGGCGGCACCGATTTTCAAGTTTCGCCTGCGTCTTCGGCCCCCGAAGTTCCAATGTGAGAGATCGCGCGTTGCGTTGGTGTCTTACGCGGGGCGGCGCGCTGGAACCTTCTCGCTGCGCGTCGAGGCTGCGAGGGCCCGCCCCCGGCTGCTTCGGCATTTTGAACCAGACAGGGAACGTTGCTCGGACGCTGCCGGCATGGGGGGGGGGGCGGCACAGGCGTGGAAAGACTATTAGCGCGAGAAGGAGGGGCGGGGCTTCGGCGGGCGGGGGGGGAAGGGCAAGGCGAAGAGCAGGGGGAATGGCACGGAACCAATATTTGCGGGGGGCTCGGGCTAGGATGCGTAGGCGACGCGGGCTGTCTGGAACCTTGGGCCCCGACGGCCGCGCGCGCCAGTCCCCCGACGCGCCGGCTGCTGCCCTCAAAGCACACCAGGGGAGCATTTGCGTGCGCATCAGAAACCTGATCGATGTCTCTGGCCTGAGATCTTGGAGCGCGTGCGGACCGTTCAACTCGACTGCTTCTTTGCGATTGGACGTCGGCTCAGACGTCGGCTCAAGGGTTTGCCGCGCGCGCCGCTCTGCCCAGGGGGGGGGGCGGGGCTCCTCGCGGGCGCTGCAAGGCGGGGGGAGCTGCCGACATTCTGTTTGCAGTGCACCTCGAGATGCAAGATGCTTCTGAAGGGGCGGCGTCTGCCAGCGCGAGAAGGGGCCGCGCGGGTTTCCTATCGAAAGACTTGAAGGGAGACGAGAACCCTTCGGAGCTGGTTCGCGCCCCTGGCAAGACCCGACCCCTGGCCCTGGCGAAAGCGGACGCGAAAATTATGAGCGATGCCTTCTCGGCCGGTTTGCCCAGGGATTCGCGGGGCGCGATCGACCCGATCCCGAAATTGTGGCATTCCTGGGGGGGGTGCTGGGCGACGTCGAGATCGAATGGTGGGGGCTCCGCCAGATGTTGACGGGGGGGGGGGGGGGGGGGGGCGCTCGGAGGTTCTCTTAGCTGACTTCGAGGCCGCCCGCCCTTCTTTGATCATGGCGCGTTTGGTCATGGCGCGGCTCCTGGAAGTTCGCTTGGCGACGCGCGTTCCAGACGGAGCCCGCGGCTTCTACGAGGAAGTGCGCGGGGGGAATGCTGCGGCGATTAATCCCCCGGGCGCGTCGCCATTGGAATTCTTGATTGCAAGAGGGCTCGGCCGGAGCGCCCTGCTTCGATGTCTCTTTTTGCGCGCGCCCTGGCCCCTGTCTTGGGCTGGGTGTAGGAAGCTAACGGGGCGCGCCCCGCGGATGCGAGCCTGCGCCGACGACTTTTGCTGTTGCCCCCCCAGCATCCTCTCAGGTCTTCTGCCGACTTTGTTCCCCCCCTCGAAAGGGCGGTCGGTCTCGGTCTGGGCCCGCGCGCGTGCGGGGCGCTTCTCACAGAGGCACTGGCGCCAGAGCAGCTCACTGACCATTTGCGGCGGAAGAACAGTTTGGTCCAGGTCATTGGTTTTGCCGGCGCTGTTCTGTACCTCGGCACCTGGCTGGGGCCTAGTGAGTTGTCGAAGGTCTGGGGCAACGCGACCCCGAAGTTCTGGATGACGGTCGGAGGCTCCGGGGGGTTGAGCTTGGACCCCCGCAGGCGATCCGACTCTTCCACCCCCGCTGCATCTAGATCTTGGCACGCCAGTTGCAGTTGGCCTAATGATGAAGCAGTTGCGGAAATCTCATAACGAAGCGTTGCAGGTGATGGCGCCCTGTTCTCGCCATCCTTTCTCTCGGGCGATGTTGATTGGATTTCGGGCATTTGGAGCTTCCCTGGAGGTTTTGGACATTGACTGCTTCGAGCTTGGATAATTCAGCACGACGTTCAGGCTTTAACGGTCTCTCTGGGAGACGATGTTCACCCCCGCACGGACCGGCCGGGCTCGGCGGGGACAGTCTTGAAACGGGGCGACGGTGGACGAAGCGGGCATTTTCTCGGCGCCCACTTCCGCGCCCGTTCCCAGGGAGCAGCGCCCAACAAACAAACCTTGAAGCGGTTGAAAGCCTCCCGCGACCACGCGGGGCCCTCCGCGCCCGGGCCCAGAGAGCATCCGCGCGGACGGGGCCCGACCGTTTTTTGGCCGAGGGGGGCGCGGCGAGTGGAGGAAAGCAGCGCCGCGCACCATGCGACGGGTGTCCTCAGGGCATTGTGTCGGGGAGTTTGCGCGTCGAGCCGTCTTCGCGCCCCTTCGGCTGGGTTGCGCCTCTGGATGCGCGGACTGCTGACGACGACCGTCGGCATTGTCGCGCGTGCCCGAACTTCATGCGCTGCCTCGTCGGCATATTTCCCCTGCGGCCTGCGGCTGTCCACTGGCATCGTGGACTGAACAGACAGATGGTGCCGATGGGCTGTTAGCCCTTTGTTGCATGGGGCCGCGTTGGCGAGGGGCGTGCTCGACTCTTGGGTTTTCTTGCGGCCCGCAATGCCCGTCGGGCGCGCTTCAGTGTCTCGGGGGACTTCCTAGTCGCGCGGTTGAGACAACTGTCTCGCCGTCGCCCAAAATTTCTGGAAGCGCTTCGGTCGTTCCGTCTCGTTGCCGCTGCTCGGAGGGCCCCCTCTTCCTCCGCCTGTTCCCCCTGCCCCTCGTGGATAGACAGCGAGAGCCATCCCCTTATGTTTGTTTCCCCGTATCCCGCGGCACTTATAATTTCCCTCCCCTGCGCCCTCTGCTCCTGCATGTGCTTGGCAGTTAGTTCGCGGCCCTTGTGGGTTTCTTGAGTTCGGCTGGCGGTTTTCCGAGGTTTCTGGCGCCGCTGGAAACTTGATGCGATTTGTTGAGTGTTTGTTTCTCGGCCAATTCAGGGTCTGCCATGGTCTCCCAAATTCGGGTGAGCGGATCGTGGGCAGTGGCCCTCGTCCTTCCACGTTTCCTGCCCTTTCCTTGCCTTTGCTACCTGTTCTCCTCCGTCCTCCCGCCGCCGGGTCGCCCCGTCGCCGCCGTCGGTTTCGTGTCCCTCCTCGTCCCCGGTCTGCTGCTCTCCGCGGTTCCTTTGGTCTGTTTTTCCTGCTGCCTTCCCTCCTCTGCTGGTTGTTGCCCCTGATCACTCCCATTGCTCTTTCCTGCTGTTTGCTGTTCCTCCTTTTTGTGTCCTTGCTTGTGTTTTCCCTTCTCGCTCGCGGCCTGGGACCGAGGCGGGGGCCGCCTGCCGCCTCTCTCGCGGCGCCCGCCCCGCGCGCCGCCCTGCCGCCCCTCCTGCCGCCCCCTGCCGCGCGGGCCTGGCGCGAGATTCCCCGACCGTGCCCCTTTCGGCGGTCGGATGTTTGCCATGGGGGGTAGAGCGCGGCTTTCGGCTGGCTAGCTGCTTCGAGCCGTTCGCATGTTTTACACGTGTTTGCAGACGGCCCGCGGCGCCCAGAGCGCTCTGCTCCCGAGGGCTCTGGGCCCACCCGCCCCGCGCCAGGTTCCCGACGAAGTTCGAGGCACCTGCGGCGCCCTGCGGGGGTCACCCGCTCTTGGCCCGCCTCCCCGCGCCAACTTCCGACACGGTTCGAGGCTCCTGCGCGAGTGGATTGTACTCTTTTGGTGGCGTCCTCGTTTTTACGGGGCGTGTTCCGTGCGTGCTTGTGCTTTGCTGCAGTGGAAGGTTGGGCGCCCGTCGCTCGGTAGGGAACGATGGTGGTTCGGGTTCGCGCAGGAGCCGCGATTCGGTCGAATCGCGATGGTCCAATTTTGATGGGGGCGCGCGTTTCCAGGGACAACGGGCTCCTCGTGCAGATTGCCCGCCACGGCTCCTCATTGGTTCTCTTAGTTATTTTGGTTTGCACGCGTGGCTTGACCCGCAGATGGACGATTGACCTCTGAGATTGTGTGCTCCAGGGAAAGCGTGTCTTGTTCCTCCTTTTCCTCCTCGTTCGTTCGTTCGTTCCTCAGGCACGAGGGTCGAAGCATGCACGGAAACGAAATGAGGGACGAGGCACGAAGAAAAACCGACGACGAGGGTCCCCAGAGCATTGGAAACCGAGAAACCAGGGGTCCAGCGCCATAGCCCCCCCAAGAGGGGAATCGCAACGGAGGAAGAAAGAAGAAGGGGAGAAAGAAAAGCCGCAAGGGGGGAGCACTGGCACTGGACCGCCACGAACGCCCAAAAACGAAAGGCCCACAAGGGCCAGGCCGCGGGCGAGAAACCAGGAATTCGAGCCGCGTCCAGCAGGCGACAGTCGCGCTCTGGCGCTGGGCAGCTTACGGCCGTCTGAAACGGCCCTCAGACGCAGGGGTCGGAGAGGAGCATGTTGAAGTCAGAGCCCGTCAACCATGTCGCTGTCAACTTCCACGTGCCGGCGTTGTGCTCGACGCTTTTGTATCCCATCGCTTGGACTTTTGCCACGAAGGAAGGGAACATGCTCACCAGGACCTCGGCGTACTGGATATGCGTGCCAGGCAACCGCGAGGCGTCGAGACCCCGAGCAGCATAGGTCCAGCATTCTTCAAGGGAGGTATGTCCAAAAGACTCGACGTGGTAGGTCGAGTGATTGACCACCTGTTGTGGGAAGCCCTCGATTTCCCTGGACAGCACCTCGAACGACACAGTGGCCTGGCAAACCTTCTGCTTTGCAATGTCGGCGCACTTGGCTTTCAACAGGCCCGCAGCTTGAACGAGCAACGTGTCCTCGTGCTCGAACCTATCGGCGGCCTTGATCTTCTTGTTCCGCATGTGTGATGCAGCCCTCAAGCGGTCTAGGTGCGATTGGGTCGAGGCGAGGCGAGACTCCAGCTGGGCCAACAGCTCGAGGGATCGCGGATGCCGCGTCCAATCCCGGAGAAAATCGCCAGCTTCAAAGCAGGACGCCAAGGCCTCCACCTCGCGCTGCCGAGCCGTCTTGGCCATGGCTCGTCAGGCCTCCTCGGCGACGTTGCGCGGGTCGGCAGTGGACATAGCAACATCCGTTTCCGAAAGGGCGCGGACCATCTTTTCGGCGGTCTCCACGATCGAAACCATATCCAACTCTTGGTCATGCTCCATGGACTGTTCTCCGGTGTCAGGGGTAGGCCGTAGACAGGGATCGACGGGACCCCCTTGAGCCCCTGGATCTCCAAGATCATCGGGAGCAAGCGCAAGCGCTCCATGATCCGGCTCGCGGGCTTGATGGCCTGGACTCCGATCCACCTCATGACCATGATCTCCACGAGCATGATCAGGTGTGCCACCAACCGCTCGAGGCAAATGACTCCCTGCTCGCGGAAGGTCATCAGGAAGAATATGCAAAGTGCCCTGGTTTGGCTGCCCAGGTGCAGACCGCAACACCAGAGAGACCGTGTCCGTGATCAGCGGCCACGACGAAAGGGAGCTGCGAAATCAAGTGTTTGAGCCAGCTTACTGGAAAACCGTTGAGCATGTCCTGACTCCATTCATTGATTAGACGGATATGCAACACTGTCTTGTTGATGTGCGAATTGTACACAAAATGCGCATTCTGGCCCAGCACGAGCTGCTGAATCAACCAGTCAAGTCGGGCCCTGGTGACCATCGCGGGTGGGGATGATGGGGCGAACGGGGGGCGCGCACGTGCGCAACTTCGGCCAATGACCCAAGCAAATGCTTGAGCCCAAGTGGCTCTCCTCCTCCTCCTCCTCCACCTCCTCCTCCTCCTCCTCCTCCTCCTCCTCCTCCTCCTCCTCCTCCTCCTCCTCCTCCCTCTCCTCCTCCTCGTCCTCCAACTCAGCGCCCTGCGTGCGCTTGGCCTGGGTCGCGCCCGCGGTCACTCGGGCGCCACCCGCGGCTGGCGCCGCCGGCGGTCGCCGGCGCGGCGGCCGCCTCGGGCTTGCCGGCGCTCTTTGGCGGTCTTGGTGAGAAGTTTGACGTTCCAGTTCCCGTGGGTTATTTGCACTAGATTTCGGACCAGGTCTTGTCGCGTTTCTGATGGCCTTGTTCCCGCGTCATTACCTCTACCAGAGGGGGGAAGTGCGGGAAGGAGGTGGTGATGATAATGGTGTTGATGATGGTGATGGTGACGGCGATGATGAAAACGGTTGCGGCGGCGATGCGATCATCAGGATCACCGTCATCGGGATACGCTGCCACGTATTCCCGCATTCCTTGACCTGGGGCGAACTTTCCGCGCAATTGTCTGGCTAGGTAATTGGTCGGAACAGCCTTTTTTCTCTTCGGTGCTGCATTTCCGTGGGTTGTGTGCGGAGAGACATCTTGAATCTTCGTCGGCAGAATGCCCTAAACAAATTCTTAGACCTAATACGACGAAATGTAACACACGCTCAGATGAATCGATATCATAAATGTCGTAGCCAAGTTCAAACTCATTATATTTCACTGTTGCTTCTGCATCAGTCAGTATCATACTCTATCCAACCCGGCATTTTTCTCATACTGTGGCCCTCGCCCTGTATGAGTTCAACTCCCTACCAGGAGCCGTGCCGGGCGGCCCAGTTCTGCCCTCCGTATATTCCGACGTGGTTTTCTTTTGTTTTGATGGACCCTCTGTGCATCCCACGCGTGAAATAACACGCGGTACGACGCCGTGTGGGGCCAAACATATTTGTATGTGTTGTCGGGTGCCTTCTGGACCCAGCATCCATCGTTCATTTGGAGCATTACCCTCGCGGTGCGATGCCTCATTCAGCCCTTGCCTGTTTCTCTTGTACGTCGTCTCGAGTGGCCTTCAGCCCATCCCAGCACCGTGCCTGGGTTGTGTGTTGAGAGGCCCCTTGGGTGCATGATGGTGTCCCTTTGGATGGCTCTCGGAGGGCCTCCTGAACGTTTTTGTGGTCGTTCGGAGCGTGAGCGTGGTGGGAGGGGAACAGGGAGGAGGAAAAGAAGAGGGTGAATGAGGAACTTCATGGAACTTCGTAGAATGTGCCGGCGTCACGGAAAAGAGATCGTTTTGGTTGATGTCGCCAGTGTCCAATGCAAACCAAGAATCGGTGAGCACCGTATTCGCTCTCTTACTCTCGGGCTCACGCCGCATCGCCGACCCCTTGGGGGTGTAGATAGTAGATGCCTGCCAGTGGGGGCCTCGTGTAGGCCTTTGGGGGTTCAGTGGGCCTCCTGGGTCTGGGTTGCGAGTTCGACGCCGTTCGGATGGCAGATGTGGTCGCGTGGGAGGCGCGTCGGGAGCGTCATGGAGGTAGTTTTTGAACCTGTTGGGGGCCTCCTGGCGGCGTCTGGGGGCTTCTGGGGGGCCCTTTTGGCGCTCTCTGGGGGCCTCTTGGAAGCTTTTTGGGGACTCTTGGGGGACAGGAGCTCGAAATGTCCGTTCGGGCTCCCCCCCTAGGCCTCCCCTTGGGGCCGTCCTCGGGGCCTCCTCGGCCGTCTTGGAGGCTTCTGGGGCCGTCTTGGGGCCCTCGTGTGCCGTCTTGGAGCCCTCTTGAGAGCGTCTTGGCCCGTCTTGGGTCGATCTTGAAGGCCGCTTCGACTTGGGTGGGCCTCGTGAGAGCACAAGAGGCGAACGTGCCAAAAACGTAGGTTTTCTCAAGGGAGTGGGACGATTTCTGCTCCTTGAAACTTGGCACGCCCCGCGGCGGCTTTTTCGAACGTCTCGGGGGCCTCTGGGGCCGTCTGGGGCCAATCTTGGGCGTCTTGGCGCGATCGTTCGGCGACTCGTGTCCCTCTTGGACCTTCCAGGGGCCCTCTTCGGGTCCTCCTGGCCCGCTTTGGGGCCCCCATGTCTCCCATGGCGCGCTCGGCGGGTCCCCAGGGGACCCCCCCTTCCGGATCGACCGGACCAGGGTCCCGGGGGAGGGGTTTGGGGAGGGGGAGGCATCTCACACGCCGAAGAACCCCAAGGGGTCGGCGGATATTCGCTTCGCGTATCCCCGCCAACTCTTGGAGGTCTCTTGGGGACCTCTCGGGCCGCCTTAGGCGGTCGGAAACCCGAGCAGGCGCGAACATGCCGCAGGTCCGCATTGCGCCCTTTCTGGGCGGCGCCCCGCCGCTTGGCGCGTCAGTCACTCTGTCAGCGCGCCTGACGGCGCCGTCCGTCCGTCGGCGCCGCAGGGTCCGAATCTTGTGCAGCGGGCTGGGCTGGAGGGCCCAAGCGGCTCCCGAGAGGCCTCCCACAAACCCCCGGTAGGCCTTTGAGAGGCCTCGCGCACGCGTGCCACGCGATACTCCCGGAGAGGCTTCTGGGAACATCGATGCGGACCTCGAGCACCAGGCCTTCTTCTTCTTCCTCCTCCTCCTCCTCCTCCTCCTCCTCCTGCTCCTCCTCCTCCCCCTAGCCCTAGTCCTCCTCCTCCTCCTCCTTCTCCTCCTCCTAGTCCTCCTCCTCCAGGCCCATCACAAGCCTCCCCTGCATGGAAGCCCCGGTTTTCTTCTCCAGGGTCGCGGCGCGAGAGCGCGAAGATTGCCGCGCCTCGCGCGCCGCAGGGCGGGGGGCGCGAAGGCCGCGGGCCCAGGCATCGTGGCCCTCTTCCTCCATCTCCCTCGGCGGTGCTCCCAGCTCTGAAGAGGCTTTGGTGGACCTTTGATGGGCTCCGACACCATCCCTCCTCCTGCTTCCTCCTGCCTCCAGCCTCCTCTCTCCCTCCAGAGAAGGGCCCAGAGGCCCCCGAAGGCGCCAGCAAGATGGCTCGACAATCCTTCCAGAGGCTCCCAGAGGCCCCAGAAGAGCTCCAAGATGCCCCCGATAGGCCTCCCACGAAACCCCACCCACCCTCTGACATGCCTCCCATACACGGCCTCCACGATGTTCCCTGAGAAGCTTCCCTGAGCATCGGCTCGGACCCCAGAGAACGGGCGCCTTCCCAGGATGCATGCCCGGACGCCGCTTCTCTGGGCCCGAATTGCCTGCCTTCCCCCCCCCCCACGCGCCTCCTGCCACTCCCCCACTTGCGCCTCCTTCGCCATCCCCACCTCCGTGCCATCCCCCCCGATGTCGCCAGGCACCCCCGGAGCTCTGCAGATGTCCCTAGAAGCTTCTGGGAGGCCTCGAATCCATCTGGAGGCCTGTGAAGGTCGCAGGAGGGCAGACATAGAACCTCGGTCTTGCCCCCGTCCCTTCCCGTCCCGTGCGTGAGCAGCATACAGGCGGAGTGTTGGAGGACGAGGAGGAAGAGGACGAGCAGGATCCAAGCGAGGGATGATGGGGGAGAGATGCGGAGCGAGGAGGGTGCAGAAAGGGAAAGAGGAGAACAGGGGAGGGACGGTGGCAGTTGGGAAAGAAAGGAGGGAGAAGGGAGGGGGGAGTGGTTGAGGCCATCCCCCCTCCACCTCCTCGTCCTGCCGCTGCTCATCTCCGTGTCCCCTCCCTGCACCCCTCCTTCTCCTCCTCCTCCACCTCCTCGTCCTCCTCGTCGTCCTCCTCCTCCTCGTCCCTCCCCTCTCCTCGGCCTCTCCCTCCATCGTGTCGCTTCGCGTGCTCCCTGCCCCCTCGCTTCTTCGTCCCCTGTCCCTCTGGTCCTCTTTCTCCTCCATCCGCCTTCCGTACGTGCATCCCACCTCCCTCCTTCCCTCCTCCCTCCCTCTGCCCCTCTCCTCTACCCCCTCCCGCCCCGACTCCCTCCTGCATTCGTTCTTCCGCGCTCCTCCTCGGCCCCTGTCTCCCCGTTCGCCCCTCCTTCTCCTTGCCCAGCCTATCTGAAGGCCACGGCCTCGCCAGCCTAGCCTCAGGTAGGCCCGGAGGTTGCTCCGCAGTGGTGGTTCGCTCGCTCCTCTCTTCCTCCTGACGCTGACGCTGACGCCGGAGGCTCCAGTGTCCATCCTGAACGCAGCCATCCTCCCCCCCTCCCACACCTCCTCCTCCTCTCCTCCTCCTCCTCCTCCTCCTCCTCCTCCCTCCTCCTCCTCCCCCACCCCCTCCTGGTCCTCCTCTTCCTCCTCCTCCTCCTCCTCCTCCTCCTCCTCCTCCTCCTCCTCCTCCTCCTCCTCCTCCTCTTCCTTGTTTCCTCCCCCTTTTCCCCTTCCCTCGGCTCAGCATGTTTTTGCACGTTTTTGCGCGTCTGGTTGTGGCCTCCCGAACTAGAGCTCCCGAGCCAGAACCAAATGAACCAATAAGTACAACGGATCTCCGCATGCGTCCAGAGCGTGTCCAGGAGCACCCGAGCGATGTTCTTGGAAGTCTCTCCGGGAACTTTTGCATTGACATCCCCAGAAGCCTTTCTGGGAGCATCCGAGCCGACGTTCTGGGTCACAGCACAGGAGCAAGAGGAGGAGGGGAGGCATTTAGAGTACGACGACGACGACCCCTGACGGTCTCCAGAGGTCTCAGGGTGTCTTGGGAGCTCTGGCTCGGGAAGTCACAGGCCAATCGACGTCCAAGAACGTACAAAAACGTGCAGAGTCGGGTGGAGTAGTAGGAAGAGGAGGAGGTGGAAGAGGAGGAGGAGGAGGAGGAGGAGGAGGAGGAGGAGGAGGAGGAGGAGGGGCAGAGGAAGGGTGGGACTTAGAGGAGGAGGAGGAGGAGGAGGAGGAGGAGGAGGAGGAGGAGGAGGAGGAGGAGGAGGAGGAGGAGGAGGGTTAGTGTACGCCTAAAACGACGCACCAACGATGGTACAATGAACCATCCCTCCAAGGTCTCTCTGCGTAGGTTTCTATCACACATATTTTCATTGCGGGGAGGGCCCCATTCGAAGTTAACCGTCTGAGAATCTTCGATCGTGCCAACGCAACCTTCCTGGGACTGCAACTCCGCAGATCAACGTGATTGTTGCGTCCTGACAGTCCTACATCTTGCCAGGACACCATTCGCGGGACTTTAACCATACGAATCCGTGAAAATCATGCAAGCTTTAAGCAGTGTGCGCGGCGCTACGGCGAGAGTCATATTTTGAAAATCCGCCGCCGTACATCTTTGAAAACGCTGGAAACTTTTAAGACAAATGTGCGCGGCGCCAAGGCGAGAGCCACATGTTGATAATCACCCGCCCTCCGTCCGTGAAACTGCTGCAAACTTTTCAGACGAACGTTCGACGAGGAGGAGGGGGAGGAGGAGGAGGAGGAGGAGGAGGAGGAGGAGGAGGAGAGGGAGGAGGAAGAGGAGAAGGAGCAGGAATAACAAGAAGAGGAGAAGGAGCAGGAGAGGGAGGAGGAAGAAGAGAAGAAGAGGAGGAGGAGGAGGAGGAGGGGGAGGTTGATGACGAGGACCTGGTGCCTCCCCGAGGGCCCCGTGCGCCCAATGGCGGCGTCGCTCTCGCTGGTGTGCGGCTTCGTGGTGGCCGTGCTGCTGTGCGCGGGGCTGTGGGGCGCGCCGCCACAGAGGGGGGTTTTGCCATCCTTCAGGGGCAACGTTGGAGGGGATAGGCTCAGGGGGATGCTCTCGGAGGTTTTCGGACGTCGCTGCTGTTTTTGGACGTCTTCAGAGGTGTTCGAGGCCCGGGGTGGTTTCCATCAGCTGCGCCTCGTCGAGGGCGTTCCGGGAATGCCAGAATCGTATCGAAGGTCCGCCGGAGAGCCGAGTTCTGACCCCGAAAAAAGGTTCGAGGTTCGAGGTTGTCCGGCGTTTTCGTCGGCTTTAGGCGGCTTTCAGTCTTGGGATGCCTTCCGGCGGCTGCGCCTCGCTGAGAGCGTGCCGGGGGTGTTTGGATCGTCCCGAACGGCCGCGGGAGGCCCGAGTTATGGCCCGAAGACCGGACGATGAGGGTCACCGGCCGTGACGTGGCCTCATTTCGGGCCCCTCGTTTTCCAGGCTTTCCATTTGTCTCAAAAAGCGCATCTCACCTGCCTGATGTGCGAGTGTCGGCTTCTCTGTCTTGCTGTTGGCCCTGGCCGCGCAGGACTCATCAGCGCTGGAACGTTGAAGTGCGCACTTCCCTCTATCTTTTCCTTGTCTCCCGCGCGCGCCCGCCCCCTCAAACCTAGCGCCTGGTTCCCGCCACGCGGTCGTGGCACGCGCGACAGGGAGGGCAAGCGGGAAACACTCAAAAGAGGAGCAGCGCGTCGATGATGCATGCTGATGCTGCTGGTGGTGGTGGTGGTGGTGATGATGATGATGATGATGATGATGATGATGATGATGATGATGATGATGATGATGATGATGATGATGATGATGATGATGATGATGGGTATGGTGAGGATGGCGATGGTGATGATGTGACTGCGACGATGATGCTGAAATAATGATGTTTGTGCCCCAGCGGGAAGGATCTGGCCTCTGCATCCGCTTCTTCCGCTCTGCAGGCTTTTTCGTTCAGGAGTGAAGGGAGGCCTTCGGCTTTCTGCTGGCCACTCTCAGCCCTTCGAGGGTGGCTCTCTTCCGATACCTGGTCTCCTGTCGCCCGTGGATTGCCATCGGAGGGGCCTCCGTCCCAGCCTGCCGTGACGGGCGAGTCCTTCCTGCTGGCCGAGCAGGGGGGTCGCCCTCGTAGTGCGTGCGCCAGTGTGACTGCCACGTGAGTCCACTGGCGGCGGAGGCAGCTGGGGCGCCCTGTACCTGTCCGTCCTAGTGTCGTGTTGGCGGGCGCCTTTTTCTCTGGTGTGAGTGTCGGGCGCGGCCTGATCCAGTCCACGACGTCCGCGCGCGTGTTCGCCGACTGCCCCACCACGGATAGTGACAATGGCCACGCCAGCGGGGGGTTCAGCACCTGGAGGTCGTTGTGCTGGTCCTCGTCTGCTACCTCTTTGGCGCGGGCGAGGCGGCGGTGGGATGTCCTGAGCGGGTTCCGCTGGCCCGCCTCGCGTACACCAATTGGGTCGTCTCTTCGCGGGAGTTTGCCATATTCGAGGAACGTTTGGGCGAAAGTGACGGGCGTCAGAAGTTCGGTATGGGAGGTGCGGTGCTCGCCGCGGTTCGGGGCTCGCTGGCGTTCCTCCCCGTCTGCTTCACGTTCGGGAAGGATCCCCAGTACTACGTGGACGTTGGCGAGGCGGTGCTGGCGCATATGGGCGACTGGCTCCACGTCACTATCGACAGGTGCCCGTTCCCGCTGACGAGCGACACGGTGCCGGGGGATGGTCTCGAGGGCTCGGCGGAACCTGCGGGACCAGTGGCGGCGGAGGCGTCGCGCATCCTGTTCGCAGAGAGGGACTGGGCACGCTGTCCCCGTCGCTGGTCTTCGGACGCCTGGCGCGGCAGGAATGAGGTCGACTTCGGCACCAACTGGGAGATTGAAGGGCCACGGTCGACTCGCCGCGCGGCGGTCCGCATCCACGAGGGGAACCATGAGCCTGTTGAGCGGTACTACGGGTGGCGCTACGCGCTGGGATTGGCGGCTTCGGACGCGGCGGTTGACGAACACTGGCGGCTGTCCCAGCTGATGGAGGTCGCGCTGACGATTGACTTTGGTCAGGTCGGCGCCCTGGTGGCTTTCGAGCTGAATATTCGCCGCCACCAGATATGGGAGAGCGCATGCGAAGATCCCATGCGCCAAATGGACGCGGGCCCCGCCGATGGCTTCGACTGGCTCATCGAGCGCTCGCTGTCCCTGGTCGTTGAGAGCCTGCGCAAAAGCTTCATCGCGATGCCAGCGTTGGAGGACTTCGCGGCGATGGAGCCCGCCACCCGCGGGGCTGTCCTGGAGGAGCGCCGCAAGGCGCGGGGGAAGGCCGCCCTGGCCCAGGGCGTCGACGCCCCGTCGGCGAAGCAGACCGCCATGGAGAGGAGGGGTGATCAGGGAGGAGGTGGTCGAGCTTGACCGTCGCCCCCCTTTCATTCTTGCGCCGCCGCGAGGGGGTCTGCCCCGCCTCGTCGAGGGCGAGCCGCAGGGGTTCAGGGATCGGCGGTGGGCGCTGCCCTGGGGTGTTCTCAAGCTTCACATGACGCGTCAACGGGGCGTCCTGCCCGTTTCCCCGGCCGCCGCCTCAGAAGTTTTGCCGGGGGGATCCAGAGGCGCGGGGCCTTCGGAGTCAGCGGCGTCGGCCTCGGCGCCGCCGAGCGCCGGGGGGGTGGCTCTTCGAGGGTATCCGAGCTTTGAACGAGCTAGGCGCTTCGGAGGCTACTTCTTCTTCGCCCGTTTCGTTGGCCGCTGCGCAGGTCTCAGCTGCCCGTCATCTCGCTCGGCAACATGGGCCAGCGGCTTCCCCGTCCACCTGGTTGCGGAAGCTCCCTGGGGGCGTGGCAGGCGCTCCAGGGCACGCAGCCCGGCTACGCGGAGGCCGCGCTTGCCGTCGGCGCCCGCGTGATTTTCGAGCGAGGGGGCGCGTCGCCCCCCTCGGGGCGCTCAGGCCTGGCGCCGCTGAGTGGACGCCTACCTGCCGCCCTGCAGTCCGCGCTTGAAGATCGCTCGATCCTTTTTTAGCCGCCGAGGAGGTTGCCGCTCGCAAGCGCGATTTTGGTGGCACCCCCCCCCCGGATCCTGCCCTTCGGGATCCGCCGAGACTTCGGAGAGAATTCGCCGCTGAACTCTGGGGCGCCGGCGTCTCGGAGGCCAGCGAGGATGTGCTCGAAGAGATTGGCATGTTGTTCGTGCGCGAGAAATCTGGCGCACTCCGAATGATTTGGCATGCCCGCGTTCCCAACCTTTGGTTTAAGGAGCCCCCTGGGGTCGCCCTGCCCGCGGGGGAAGCTCTTGCCCATTTAGCGCGTTCGCCCCATGCGATCCCCGCTCTGCATGGGGGGGTGGGGCGGGGGGTGCGTTGAAGTTTGCCGTTGCCAGTTTGAGCTCCCTGGCCGGCGCAGTGGTTTTTTTCGGCCTGCCCTTGACCCCTACGGCCCGCCTCCCCGCTCACTTCGTTGCTGATTTGCCGGGGGCTGATCGAAATCGCGGGCGGGCTTGCTTCCGCGCCCGCGCGGCGCCGACGAGGCGGAACTGGGCCGCGGCTCTCGGCTAACGCCCAACAACTCAGGGGCGCCCACCCCGAGGCCCCGTGGATTCTGGACCTTGCAAGGCACCTCCCCCACCCCGCGGCGACGTCGGGTCGCTGCGCGGATTGCACATCGATGACTTCGCGTGTCTGAGCGCGGACCCCGTCGTCGCGGAGAACGCCGTCGTGGGGGCGGGGGGGGAACTGGAGGAGAGAGGGGTCGCCTCGGCGCCGGAGACCGCGAGCCCCAGGGACCGCGATTTTATCGGCTTCGCGCTCGCGGGGTCGAAGGGGGAGCGGCGCCCTAAGGCCAGTCGTTTTTGGAAGGTGATGCTCGCGCGTGATCGTCTATTGGAAAGCGGCGGGAGGGTTGCGGGGCTGGAGTTGGAGAGGTTCGCGGGTCGCGCCGCCGCCCTCTTCTCGTTGGCCCCGGAGCTATTGTGCGTTATGGAGAAAGTGTATGTGTTCATACAGGACAGCTATGTTCGGCGACAGCCCCTGTGGCCCTCGGTTGCGCGCGAGGTCCGCTGGACGCGTGCCCTCCTCCCTCTGGCTTGATCTTGTATGCGACGTCCCTGGCGAGATCGGGCCTTTGGTTATGACGCATCTGCCCGGGGCTTCGGGGTTGCGCCCCCTCGAAGAGGTCGCGGTCGTTGGTCGCGTTCGGGAACGCGCCCGCCTTCGGGGGCTGTCGAGTGTCTCGGGGGCTTCCTGTTCACGGGCCCTTGACCATGAGGAGGTCTGTGTCTCGGAGGCGTCGGAGGAGGTGATCCTGGATCTCGGGCGCGCGAGGGAGTTTGCCGAGGCCCCCGTCTCTTTCTCAGAGAGGAGCTGGGAGGTGGCCTACGCTGGTCGCTGGAGGGGGGCGCCTGGGTCTCAGGTCCAGCTGGGGGCGAGAGCTCGGACTTGGACTGTGCGACACCTTGCTCGTGACTGCAGTCTTCATGAATATCGGGTGCTCGTCCTGGGTGGTAACATGTCGTTGATCTGTGCGCATGCAAAGGGCCGCTCGTCGAATCGTGCGATGAATTTCCAGCGTCGGATGTTGGCCGCCTTCCGCCTAGCCGCCGGGCTCAAACTGGCGGATCGCTGGGCGCCGTCCGAGCGGAACGCTTTGGACGCTGCCAGTCGGGTGTTCCAGCCTCGGCATGGCGGGCCGCGGGCGCTGGAGGGGTTCGTCGAGCGCCGCCTCGTGCCCGGCGGCGCAGCCGCGGCGCGCGGCCCCCCCCGTCTCCGACGACGAGGGCGACGCGGACCTGGGCTGCTTCAACACGCCGCGCCGGCGCACCAGGCCTCGCTTCCAAGCTCGCGGCGCGAGCAGTGGGCCGAGCGGCCGCGGGGCCTCCCGGCGCACCCGAGCTGGTGGCAGGCCGCGGGGTTCCCGCGTGGCCGCCTCTGGCCAGGTCGGCCCCCAGGCCTCCACCCGCTTGGCGCGGACTCGCGAGGAGGTCCGACAGCGACCGCGAGGCTTAGCGCTGGCCCTCACAGCGCTGCAGCGGGG